AGATAAGAGCAAACTAAAATAAAAAGAGAAAAATAACTAAGAAATTTTGGAGAAATTTACTTGGAAAAATTACTTGCTTAAAAAATAATGTATTGAGCCAATTTCGATCAGGAATATATTCATGTAATTATTTCAATAAATAATTTAAAAGTTTTTACATCAATTTAAAAGTTAAATTTCATAGGCTGATTTGTTTTATTTGACGCATGATGTAGCGGAAGGTTTATTGATAAAAGGAAGAAATAAAAATCATTACAATACTCGATGACGAAGCTTTGACAGGAAGTCTAGTAAAGGCTCAGCTGATCAAACTACACTCAGCAATGTTTATTTAGAAGGCCGTGTTTTTTGTAGGTCGAGTTTCGGTGGCAACCCAAACAAGCAGCGAGCCAGCTTATGATGGGCGATATACCCTCTGCAAATATTCATCTCCGCTCTCGCTTTAATTAATTGGGTATTAAACGGTTCAAAGCTGAATAATTGAGTAGGAAAATGGTTTAAAAAAGTTTTCCCGATTAGAGTGAAACAAGAAAATAAATAATTTAACTAAAATTTCATTTATTCTTTAACTTGTTTATTCGGTTGAAATTGTTAAAAAATATTCCTAATTAAAGACATATTTATTTATTCTGTAATTAAAAAAAAAAATATATATATATATATATATTAGAATAATTAACTTCCTTTATATAATGGGAAGGTACTATATCCGTTACATTTTTCTGACACAAAATCATTGTAAAAATAATTAAACTATCTAACTACCAAAAAATGTAGATTAAAACAGAAAGAGGATTGATCAGAAAAAACTTACAAAAATTATGAGAAATACAGTGAAATAAATATAACAGAACATATTAAGGGCAAACTTATGAACCTGGGTATATGAAAAAAAAATAGTTACCTCTCTATTATATAAAAAAGTTTTCAGTCACTATCATATTTTATTTTATATTATTATTCAGATAGTAGGAGATAATAGGGGCTCTGCGATTATTTTAAAATAATCGCTGTTCATTTCATTATGCATGCATTAAGCTCCCATCTCCTACTCTACTAATACAAATAAAGATTTTAGACTAAAATTTTGTACAAAAAATGGTTTTTGTATGTTGATAAAAAATAATACAATGTGAACTACAGAAAACGTGTAAATTAAAGTTGTATAATTTGTAAAACGGGGGTTGGTCCGCTGTTAGGCGGACAGGGAGTACCCCCTATATATAATGAAAAAAATATTTATGTTTCAAATGTGTGTATATAATACATATATTATGTATATATGTATATTAATATATGTATTATATACACACATTTGAAACATAAATATTTTTTTCATTATATATAGGGGGTACTCCCTGTCCGCCTAACAGCGGACCAACCCCCGTTTTACAAATTATACAACTTTAATTTACACGTTTTCTGTAGTTCACATTGTATTATTTTTTATCAACATACAAAAACCATTTTTTGTACAAAATTTTAGTCTAAAATCTTTATTTGTATTAGTAGAGTAGGAGATGGGAGCTTAATGCATGCATAATGAAATGAACAGCGATTATTTTAAAATAATCGCAGAGCCCCTATTATCTCCTACTATCTGAATAATAATATAAAATAAAATATGATAGTGACTGAAAACTTTTTTATATAATAGAGAGGTAACTATTTTTTTTTCATATACCCAGGTTCATAAGTTTGCCCTTAATATGTTCTGTTATATTTATTTCACTGTATTTCTCATAATTTTTGTAAGTTTTTTCTGATCAATCCTCTTTCTGTTTTAATCTACATTTTTTGGTAGTTAGATAGTTTAATTATTTTTACAATGATTTTGTGTCAGAAAAATGTAACGGATATAGTACCTTCCCATTATATAAAGGAAGTTAATTATTCTAATATATATATATATATATATTTTTTTTTTTAATTACAGAATAAATAAATATGTCTTTAATTAGGAATATTTTTTAACAATTTCAACCGAATAAACAAGTTAAAGAATAAATGAAATTTTAGTTAAATTATTTATTTTCTTGTTTCACTCTAATCGGGAAAACTTTTTTAAACCATTTTCCTACTCAATTATTCAGCTTTGAACCGTTTAATACCCAATTAATTAAAGCGAGAGCGGAGATGAATATTTGCAGAGGGTATATCGCCCATCATAAGCTGGCTCGCTGCTTGTTTGGGTTGCCACCGAAACTCGACCTACAAAAAACACGGCCTTCTAAATAAACATTGCTGAGTGTAGTTTGATCAGCTGAGCCTTTACTAGACTTCCTGTCAAAGCTTCGTCATCGAGTATTGTAATGATTTTTATTTCTTCCTTTTATCAATAAACCTTCCGCTACATCATGCGTCAAATAAAACAAATCAGCCTATGAAATTTAACTTTTAAATTGATGTAAAAACTTTTAAATTATTTATTGAAATAATTACATGAATATATTCCTGATCGAAATTGGCTCAATACATTATTTTTTAAGCAAGTAATTTTTCCAAGTAAATTTCTCCAAAATTTCTTAGTTATTTTTCTCTTTTTATTTTAGTTTGCTCTTATCTATAGCCACTTCTAATTGAGTAAAAAAATTGATTTTTTTTAATTTATATTGTATGGGGTTAGAGAAGTACATGTTAGTGGTCTAAAACTTTTTCTTCCACTGGCATTTTGAAAATATTAATTCGAAAAGAAATTAGAAAATATTCAAAAACGAAACTTGAGATAGAATTTTTTTTTTCTCCAGGAATATTACAATCTGTCACAATTAAGGACATTTATAATAATGTTCAGGAAAGGACAAAGTGTTCGGCGGTACATATACTAAAATTGGAACGATACAGAGATAGAAATTAAATTCATTTTACTGAACTTTCACAGATAATCATAAATGAAACAATAAATTGATTTCTCATCTTTTTTTCAAACGAAAATGAGAAGAAAATACAATCATAGTTATAGAAAATTACATTTATTCCGAGACCCCGTGAGAAAAAATCGACATTATTTGATGAAAACTTTAAAAAGTTAAATTTCATAGGCTGATTTGTTTTATTTGACGCATGATGTAGCGGAAGGTTTATTGATAAAAGGAAGAAATAAAAATCATTACAATACTCGATGACGAAGCTTTGACAGGAAGTCTAGTAAAGGCTCAGCTGATCAAACTACACTCAGCAATGTTTATTTAGAAGGCCGTGTTTTTTGTAGGTCGAGTTTCGGTGGCAACCCAAACAAGCAGCGAGCCAGCTTATGATGGGCGATATACCCTCTGCAAATATTCATCTCCGCTCTCGCTTTAATTAATTGGGTATTAAACGGTTCAAAGCTGAATAATTGAGTAGGAAAATGGTTTAAAAAAGTTTTCCCGATTAGAGTGAAACAAGAAAATAAATAATTTAACTAAAATTTCATTTATTCTTTAACTTGTTTATTCGGTTGAAATTGTTAAAAAATATTCCTAATTAAAGACATATTTATTTATTCTGTAATTAAAAAAAAAAATATATATATATATATATATTAGAATAATTAACTTCCTTTATATAATGGGAAGGTACTATATCCGTTACATTTTTCTGACACAAAATCATTGTAAAAATAATTAAACTATCTAACTACCAAAAAATGTAGATTAAAACAGAAAGAGGATTGATCAGAAAAAACTTACAAAAATTATGAGAAATACAGTGAAATAAATATAACAGAACATATTAAGGGCAAACTTATGAACCTGGGTATATGAAAAAAAAATAGTTACCTCTCTATTATATAAAAAAGTTTTCAGTCACTATCATATTTTATTTTATATTATTATTCAGATAGTAGGAGATAATAGGGGCTCTGCGATTATTTTAAAATAATCGCTGTTCATTTCATTATGCATGCATTAAGCTCCCATCTCCTACTCTACTAATACAAATAAAGATTTTAGACTAAAATTTTGTACAAAAAATGGTTTTTGTATGTTGATAAAAAATAATACAATGTGAACTACAGAAAACGTGTAAATTAAAGTTGTATAATTTGTAAAACGGGGGTTGGTCCGCTGTTAGGCGGACAGGGAGTACCCCCTATATATAATGAAAAAAATATTTATGTTTCAAATGTGTGTATATAATACATATATTATGTATATATGTATATATATATATATATATATATATATATATATATATATATATATATATATATATATATAATTATGAAATGATAAAATTTAATCATTAATATAAAAGGCAAGTATATGAATGTCGGTATGTTTGTATGCTGCACAAGTAACCATTATAAACGCCTGCGTCTAAGATGTTTTTTTTCATTACTTTTTTTTTTTTTTAATAATAATAATATAGACAATTTTAATTCTATTTTATTCATTTATTTTTATTAATTATTACTATTATTTATATTTTCTTTCTTCACTATGATATTTTATTTTGTTCTTATTCAGCTTTATATTATTTTAAAATTACCTTATTTCTTTATATATTTTTTTAAATTTGTAAATATAGTGAGGATGTGCTCTCAGAACTCTATTATAAATGTCCTTTATTGAGACATTGTAATATTTATCAATAAAAAAATAATTCAGTATAAATGATAACATTATAATAATAGACAGGTAAAATTAATAGTTGAGGAGATAAGGAAATAATTGATGTTTAAATGAAGATCTGCATCTGAAGGTGGGTAGGGAATTCCAAAACAAGGTAGCACGGAAGATGAAAGTTTTCTGAATAATATTAATTTCCCATTTTCTTAACCATTTAATCTAAAATCAAAAATATTTTCCTTTTATTGTAGAAAAAGAGTGTAAAGCTACGGCCCATGGGCTCAATAATTTGTAAGAGGTATGGTTTCTTCGTTTTGCTAGTACGTTCAATGGCTAACTTTCTTCTTTATATTGTCTATTAAAAGAGCCTAGGTTTGTCCCATGAGGGTCTCCGGACCCATAATAAATTGCAGCTAATTAATAATTAGCCAGATTAGAACTTGGGGTATGGAGGGTATGAACACAGTGTTTTACAGTGTCTTACAAGGGGACGGGGTGGTCGAGCGAGCTAACACGAATTCACATCACCGAACGTTACCCGAAAACTTGATAACCTAGCTCAAATCCCGGTCCCTCGTGGGACTTTTAACTCAGTATAATTACCCCGCCCTCTCCTCCGGTTCGGGAAAAAACCCATGTAGCCTAAAAGGTGAGGAAGGGGAGTAAAGTGTTTTGCATTATATTATAATTTTATTTTATTTTTTTGCTCTTGGTCTATTTCCTTCCAGTTATCTATTGCATCTTTGTTGATTCGATCTATCCTTTTAGTTTTTGGGCTTCCGCCTGGTCTCTTGCCTTACGGCATTCATTGTCGTGTAGTCTCCCGGATGAATTTAAAACATTCCGCCAATCTTAACCTCCTTCTTTGCCTTTATGTCAAGAGATATTCATTGATCAGTATAACAACAATATAACCTAATATTACAATATATTTGCTCACGAATGTGTTTTTAAAATAAAAAATTGCATAAGGGGGCCCTACACGGTCAATCGGAATGGCACTAATGACGTTCCGAATTGTCGTGTAAGGTAGTGAATGAAGTACTGATGGTGGTGCGCTGCGGATTTCCGAACATCCGAAAATCAAAGGTTCATTCACGAGAAGTGGAGGGGGGGACCGACTAAACATATGGGCTGGGGAGACCAACCATACTACTGGATAGGTTAGGTTACCTAGGCCTCACAACCATTAGAAATTTCTGATTTTCATTATAAGTAAATAGTTAAATAATTTTCCATATCCCTTGTTTATAATTTTAAACCATCTTCAACTATTTCTTTTAAATAGTCAAGTGGGCAACAAAAAAATGAGGAAACTTCACAATTTACTTTAGGAAAAAAAAAACTTTATCGTTGTGTATATTTATCAGTTCTTTTCCCATTTTCCTCAACAAATTTATTATTTTCGCAATACCTTTCCTTAATTTTTGTAAGTAGTAGACTTATATTTTACTAACTTGTCAAAACGATTTTCTATGGGACTACTACTAGATAGGTTAGTTTACCTAGGTCTCGTTATTAAGTAAATAGTTGTTTATATCCCTAGTCTATATTATTATTAACCATTTTCAACTATTTTTTCTTTAAATAGTCAATAAATTGAAGAGAAAAAAAAAGTGAAAACTTCACAATTTACTTATAGAAAAACAAATCTTTAACTGTTGTGTTTATTTGCCATTAATTTTTCAATTTTTCTAATCAAATTGATTATTTTCGCAATACTTTTCCTAGATTTTTGTATGTAGTTGACTTATATTTTTCTAACTTTGGTCTAAACGATTTTCAGGCACTAGGAAGTAATTATTATATCTCCGTTTTTCTCTTGATGCCCAATATTATAAATGGCAATGTCCAAATAAGCATATCTATGCTGTTTCTTTGTTTACAAATGAGCTAAATTGGTATCAGCAACGATAAGTAATGATCAGTGATGATTGAACGTGTAAGGGTCTTCATGATCAAAGCGATCGCGGGCAATCTTGGAACTTCTTGTGACGTTCATTCATGAATTACCGTGTAGGGTCTGCTATATAAATGCATTTGTTCATTCAATATGGTTGGGCAACAGCATAGAAAAATCAGCCAACCTAAACATGCAATAGCATACGAAACCAGTCTTCGATTATCAAGCGGTATTTAATGAGGGATGTGGTGAGGTCGGCCGGCCTACCTGAAAGGTGGGGACCTGACCCTTACACGAGCCGACCTCTCGACCGCAGCTGTAATTACTTCATCAGGTCCTTTCTCCTCATACCGTTCCTAATGGACACTAAATATCCCTCATCATCAGGCTGCTTTTACGGGCATCCTCTGCCAGAACCTGCTAATCCTAGAGCAACGGATGGGATCAAATTATAACATCTTGAGCGTATCCTCCTCAAGATTAAAATATTAACTTTAGAGGTTCAGTTTCAGAGGGATCATTATAAACTGATATTATAGGAAGTGCTTTGCTGTGTGGTAACAGATGAGATTATTAATCAGAGATGAGATTTTGCAGAGCGAAGAAGAATATTGAAATCATGGCAGGTGAAATCCGAAGAGAAAATTAATGAAATGAAAGTGAGTCGGCTTTGAGAATACTATCAATGGATGAGGTCACTCAGGATAGCAGGGTTCTTCTGATAGCTATCGACAAATTTCGCTAATGAGCTTGGATATGATCCTGAAAGAAGCAATTGCTTGTTTTAGATCTTGTACTAAGACTACATTTGTTTAAGAGTACTTTTTTTTTTGTCTACGATGCACCGCTTAGAAGTAATAAGTGAAAAAACAAAATAAGATAAGAAAACTCTTGCTTTTTCGGTTTTAAAAGTTTACCCTTGGTAACCCGCCTTAGAAATTTCTTTTTTCAAATTTTTTAACCCAACTTAAAAAAATAAATACTTTCTCCACATTTTTCACAATAAATTAGCGGTTTCGATCCTTTAGTCCGTGGTACAAACATCTTTTTATCAAATCATTAACATCCGCTTGAAACTTTGTGTTATCTTTGTGTTAATAGCTTTATGTTATCTTAACCTATACTGTTTTACTTACGAAAACTCATAGAATTGGGGCGAGAATCTGAAGATTTTAATCTGGAGATCACCAAACTTTGTCTATTTTTGGTCTGTATGTTATTTTGACATTTTGGGGGTGTAGGTCACGCCAAACGGTTTAAATTATCTTAGGACCCAAGTAGGAATAAAATGGGTATTTACGAATTTTTTAATACATAATTAAATAGATAAAGTTTGTCGATCTCCTGATTGAAAACGCCCCAATTCCAAGAATTTTCGTTGATAAAATTAAGTTGTAGGTTACGATGAGATGAAGCTATTTACGAAGTTTCAGGCGGATGTTAATAATTTGATAAAACTGTATCTGCACGACGGACTAAGATGATCGAAACGGAAATTTATTATGAAAAAATGTGGAAAAAGTTTTTAGACTCCTATTTTTGTTAGATATAAATATTTTTAAGAAATTCTTTCAAAATTTTCATTAGATGTCAATTTTCAGGACTATAATACAATCTCTCCATCCTAAAGTTGAAAATCGAAACTAAAGAATTTTACACGAATTTGTCAAGTCTTTATAAATTATAACTTAGTTTCAAAGAAGTTTTGATATTTTATATATATTTATTTCTTACAACGTGTTCAGAGTTAATATATTATTAAAAAATATTTATAGTACAACAGAAGATATAAAAATATTACTTTACGTATTAGATATGTCTGTGATATTTTACTTCGATTATCTTTAAGTTTATTTTATTCGTTTTTATGTATAAACTTTTTGATTATTACTTAGTTGTTGTTTTGGTTTTATTTTATTTTTTCTATAAATATGGTACAGATGAACTCTTTCCTCACTTCAACCATTGTCCGTAATTTGGCAGCTATATTACACAATAAAATGCCTAAAAAGAAAACTTTTTTTTATTTATTAGACCAAACAAATCTTCTAATGTCTTTCCTTGCAAAATTATCAAGAGTCGAGATTTTATAGGTGTTCTCTGCGACACTTAGATCGCAGGAGAGTAAAATGGTGCCAGTTTCCTTATTGGTTTGTCGAGTCCTTCAAAGACTCGTAATTTATCTTAGCCGTACCAATCCATTAATACCACCCCACCGTCCTGCTTTGACGATTCCTTGGAATTTTTCACATCTAGCTATTCTTTCCTCGTTTTAGTAAAATTGGTTATAATTAATTTTATTAATTATTACTTTCCTAATAGGTGAAGGAAATGCCTTAAACATTAAAAGCTTTAAGAAAAAGTAGAACATTTTTAAAAAATTTATATCTCATCATTTATTTACATCATCATTAGGACTGTTGCGATATTCCTTTTTATATATAGATATCAGAATTTTATATCGATATTAGTATAATATTGAATAAAAGATCGACATCGCCAATATCGAATGATATCTATATCAGAAAGAAATTTTTGAGGTATTTAACAATGATCGGTATGTTGTTAAAAGTCTTTAGGTATGTGACTTAAATCACTAAGAACTTTCATTTTGTCAAGTTAGAAAATTGTGCACTTGTGGTGTTTTTTTTATTAATAAATGAGGTCAAATTCACAAAAACGTTCTTAAAAGTAAAGACAGACAGCACAATAAAAAAAATACTAAATGACTTTTAGCAATAAGACTGATATATGAGCTGTTCTTTTTTTTTTTTTTTTTAAGTATTTAGTTAAGTATGTAACTCCATTTTATAATATATGGAGATATATATAAGAGTTCGTATTAGAATGGTTTAAAATATATTGGTATATGTTGAAATGCTTGTTTTATGTTTTTTAAAATATTAAATTAATTTACTTTACGTTTATAATGTAGACGAAAAAAAAAAATTGAAACGTTACATAGGCATTTTTCTTTCGATATCGATATTATCGCAGCAGCCCTAGTCATCATGTTTTAAATACAGTGATACTTTTGAACTCAAAGAGAACATATCCAGGGGAGGATTTTACAATATTTACTAATAACTTAAAATAATTAAAAAAAAAGAAATAATCTAATTGCTTAAATATAATATGTTATATATATACATAATATAAATATTGTGTTGCAGATACCCTAGCCTTCGAAATGGCCTGACAGCCTCGACGAAGCCCCCCTTCCTGCTGGGGTCTAAGGATGAAGTCCTACCCAGCTTCAGCCCTTTCGCTGCCCCCATATTCCCACCCGCTCCTGTTATAGACATGAACGCTACTCAAGCTTTGCTCAACATGGTCAGGACACACCAGCAGGTATGTAGGACAGTAAAATATTATTTTTAGCAATATCGAAAACTTCATCTTGGTCTAACCTTCGTGGGTTCAAAATAAGTTTTACATGAGTAATTCACTCACTGTGAAGCAACTAAATTAATGCCGGCCATGATGGGGTAGGTCCATGGCGTTTTTAAAAGAAAATCTGTACAACAAAAAAAAATCCAAAACCTACCAAACTTTTATTACTTTTTGATTTTTAATAAAATAATTTTGGTATTAAATTACCGCTTTGTAAACGATTTACTTGTTAAATCGAATGTGTATTTCAATTAAAAAAGAATATTCTTAGAAAAATATAATCTTGTGCCGAAACTGTTATCAATTAAAAAAAAACTAAATATTTAGTAGTTAACCGTTGCATTATAAAAGGAGATGGTCCAGGGTGGCGGTCATAAATAGGCTATACTCATAATAGTGGCAAATCTATTTTATTAAAAGCCAACGTTTCGACCCGACTTTGCAGGTCTTCTTCAGGGAGATGTGTTCAGCTATGAGTTTCAATAAGTGAACGCTATGAGTTGTAAGTGAAACTCCTAGTTGCAATTTTATGTACAAAGTCGGGTCGAAACGTTAACTTGTTTTGCCACTATTAAGCCTATTTATGACCGTCACCCCGGACCATCTCCTTCCTTTAAAAAAAATGAGTTGTATGTTTTTAAAATTCAAATTTTCAATAAAGCAAACCACTTAAACATCAAATATAACGTTTTTGGAAAAATAAAATTGTTTTGTAATTACGTGTCTCATAATTTTTATGTGCTAAAAAGTGCTATAACGTAACTTATGGTGTTATAAAACTACCAGAAAAAAAGTATATATATAAATTTATTTAAGAATATGTGTTGAAATAATTAAAGAATAATCAAGAAAAAATATAATCATTTTTAAGTAAATAAGTTAACAACTTTTCTATTAATAAAATGATTAGAAACATTTAAATAGTAAAACAAATTTGTAGGTAAATGGTTGACTGTCGTGAATAATGAAGAGAAGAATAGTTGGGGTGATCAGTCAGAAACACAAAATTAATTAGAAAAACAAAAGTAATTAATCCCATATTTGTAATAATATTTATATTGTATTCTATGTAATTCAGTGAACTCATTGATTGATGAATTCAGCGATTGAATTATCGATGGCTTAGCGATTCCATAGGATTTAGGGATCAATGTATCCGCTGGATGTAATCTCATTCCAACTTAAAAGTTGTTTCTCAATTTACTTAACCATATCTATATTCAGTTTACTTTTTATATATTTTGAAATTCATCAATTCAGTTGTTAACATTTCTTCATATATTTATTATTCATCTGTTTGGTTACTTTTTGTCCATTGATACTGGATTTATCGGATCGATGGATTCCTTCAATAGAATAAGCGCTGAGTTTAGGAACTTGCCCATTCTAATATAGAGATTACATATATACAATTTAAAAATGAAAATTAGATCTATGCAACAAGTAATGATTGCATGTAGGTTTGTGAATTGGAACAGAGATTTTAATGACTTGAGTATTTTTCAAATTATTTTGTAAAAATATAAAATGGTAATAATAATTTAGTTGCTCATTTATGTTAAAGTCCTTTAATTATGGCAACAATGAAGGTCGAAATTTATTCGTTTTCCAAGATTCGTTCCAAAGATAAAAAAGAATCAATCCTCTCAGTGCAGATTCGAACCGGTTCAGCTTCGTGTTCTGCCAAAGCAGCTTCTCTTTCATTTTCATTAAAAAGATTTATCTAATAATGGATATATATATATATAATTAGATTTCACGAAGGAATTATCTTCCGGTAGAATTTCTTTAGGTCTCGCAGCCAATTTCTTAATCAAATCGTCCATTTCTGGGGTAAAAGATGGCTTGAGCGCTAACTGAACATTCAGAGGCCCACTAATAACTTCATAGGAACAAGATGAACATTACGACTCGACAAGAAGTGGGTACTTAGAGCGGGCTAATAGTGGTCCTTAAGAAATGTTCCACTTTTTGTTCACTCCGTCATTAGCTTTGTCTGCTTAGATCTTAACTACATTGTTCCTTAACTGCCTTGGGTTGATATAGCACGTACTACACTAATTTATTACTGTGACTTTAAGAAGGATTTCTAGATCTGAAGACGTGTGTATTTGGTTCTATTTGCCACTGGATACAATATAATCTAAAAAAGGAGTTAGAATTTTATTTTCATTTTAATTTTACTTTTTTTGGAAAAAATTTAAGTCTGCCAGAACAATTTAACCAAAACGTCTCTCTATTCTACAAAAACGTTTTTAGTGGCCGTGGTTTTTATTTTTTTCCTACTTCCCGAGAATTTATTTGCTATATAAAATACGATATATAAATGCATAATGAAATTTATATACAAAAAATTTCTAATTTCCTTTTATTGTCCAAGGGCATTTTAAGGTAAAAGTGTTTAGTGGCCGAGTCATATTTTATTTTACATATGCAAAGTTGAACCGACCGTATATATATATATATATATATATATATATATATAATTTGAAATAAATACAATTATACAATTAATAAAGTTATACAAATAAAGTTATACAATTTGAGCAACGAGTAGTAAAATTAAATGAACAGTTTATGATTTGTAAAATGGGTGTTAGTCCGCGGACAAGGGTACCTCCCTAGTCATTAAAAATTTAATTTTAGTAAATATGTATAACAATTTTAGGGATATATTTATAAAAAAGGTGAAACAAATATATATTGCTATATTTTTAGTTCCTTCCCACAGCGGAGTACAATGGTTCAAAACATCTTATTTTATTTCGTATGGATCGATGGAATCGTCTTTATATTATTATAAATTTTGTAGTTTTTAAATATGCAAAAAAATTTTAGATATGCAAAAAAAATTTTTCTTCTTAAAAAAGTATTAACCCCACATTGCTACTTCGGTCGGTCCAATTTAGCTATTCCTAGTATGAGTTCAATGTTGAAAGCAATTACGATCAGCAAACATTAAAAATCCATAGTATAAAAGAAGGTAAGATTTTTTTTTTAGACTGTATTTTAATATAACTTATTTAAGTTTTAAGTAAACTCCCATACCAGACTGAAACAACTTGAAACCGCCGGACGTTTTCGACTACTGCAGCACTTACTAGACAAACCCTTTAAGCTTTCAATCACTTACAAACGACTCACATATATGACAATAATGAGCCTATTAGGACTTACGAAATTGAACTTTGGGGCTCCACTAAACCATCGAATTCCTCTCGTATCCAATCCTTCTTAAAATCCTCAACGCTTCTTACTTTGTCACAAATAAAATCATCCATAAAGACCTTAATGTTCCATTTGTTTCCGATTTGGCCCAATCCAGATACCTATCCTTCTATAACAAACTGCAGAACCATCCGAACCCTCTCAAAGCTTGCTTCCTCCTCGACCTCTGTTAACCCTCTGAGGCATCTGAAAAGAAGATGGCTTCGAGACCTTCTAATATAGAACTTTAATTTGAGTTCTACCAATGGGTAGTTTCTCTTCATGTCGTACATGTCATGTTACCAATGTAACTTTTACTTGTTGTATTTTTCATGTAATACAGCTGTAAATTTCATTAAAAAAAAAAAGTTTTAAGTATCCCACGGAAAAAAATGTCTCGTATTTTTTAAAATATATTATACAACATTGAAAATATAAAAGTAAGTTGTGTAATGTTGAGGTACTCGATACTGTAGACCTCAGCTGAGAATACTCTTAACCACCGAGCAGGCTTCCTATATGGGAAGGAACGCCGGCTAGTCCCTTACCAGGCAGGACATCTTGTACCGCCTCCAGGACAATATCCTGTCAAGTGTGTATCCTCAGCAACTATCCTGAACAATCAATAAAAATAAATCTAAGATACTGGCGTTGTGTATTATTATAACGCTTTCCAGTGACTTTGTTACAACACTTTTAGATAATTTCATTTATTTTTCTCTGAGTGGTAGAAATTGAACTGAACCTCCAATTATTTAAGTAACATTGCCGGGGTTCTTGATTATGTAATAAGCATGTCTTACGGTGACAGTCCTATGACGAAAATTCAACCGTCCGTAAGACTGCCCTGCATGTAGTTATTACTTCACAACCGCCTGGTTCCGCTGGATGTATTCAGTATTGTCCGAACGGTTTTCTCCCGGTTTTCGCAACATTCTGTCTCTTCCTGTCCAGCAAACTTAAGCAACGAATGTCAGAAATCCTAATTTTATTTCATGCATAAAGAAATATCAAACGCAATTTATAAGAAGTAAGAAGAAATTAAAATCATAAATAGCATTGCAATCTTCAACATTATATAAATTGAAAGACGAGTTAAAAGGTATCATTCCAACTAGGTGTGCCCTAAACCTTAACGCGCATGAAGACATTTTACAAACTATGGGAAACACAAATATCTAACCTAATAGTAACATTAGCGCTAAGTTTTTTTTTTTTTTTATTTCTCTTTTTACCGACCGCCGATGGAAAAAATCAAAAACAAGAAATAAAAACACTAGCATAGGGAAACATCCATTTAGTTATTTGTATTTCCCACAGTTATATGGCTGTGAAACCTCGACATTAATCAGTGCCCTGGAAAAGAGCATTGAAAGATTTGGAAGACAAATCCTACGCACGATAACCGGAGCTATCTGGGATCAGAGTATTAACAGATGGAGCAGAAAGATCAATAAAGAGTTCTTTAAAGGAACTGGTCAATCAAGATATGAAGGCAATGAGGTTAAAATGGGTAGGGCATATAGCTCGGAGCGATCGATCTGGAAGCCTCTACACAACAATGAACGTCTCGATCGTAAGAAAAGGACCATGCGGTCAAAAGGCAGATGGATAGATCGAACCAATAAGTCGCAATCGAGCTACATAGAGATAATTGGAAAGAAATATCCAAAGATAGGCAAAGACGGAGATGACTTATTAAGTTGACAAAAGATCTACAAGATCAGGCAGTGCCTACAGAAAAAAAAATCCCATAGTTGTGAAATGTCTAAACATACTTTTAGATATTGGGTTTATATTACTTGGGCATTATTTGTATAGTTCGACCCTAGATTAGTTGGCAACTCTAAGTTGAACTCATGCGATATAAAATTGAAACACATTTTGTTCCTTTTTTTTTAAAAATATTACTCGCAAAATACTCTGAATAATATTGAGAGATGACATAGTAATCTTTTAAGTTTTATATATATATGCTGACATTTATTTTATAAGTAATATCGGATGGTTAAAAATATTTGGCCTAACCAGTGCAATAGATTAATATTTTAAAAATCCTGTGTTTTCGAAAGGCTGGGAACAGAGATATAATAAATAAAATAAAAGTTTTATAATTATTCTTTTCGAAATTATTGTATAATAATATTTAAAAAATCCATTCAAAGAGATAAAAGTAAATAATTTAAACCTACAATAAACAAATACGATCTAATTAAAATGTGTGGCGAGCACTGCTTGTAGAAGATAGTACCCGGTTGTACCGCTACGAACGTCTGTTTTATCAAAGATGGTTCCGTCATTTTAATTTAGAGCCCACGGAGGTTTGCTTTGAATTCTTAATAAGGCAATTGCCTAACGGGTTTCACTAAGTATCAAGTTCATAACTTGACATATTTTTTTTCTTTCGTAGAAACACATATATATTTTTTTTCGGTTGGCATTCCAGACCATGTAGATATTTTGCGCATTAACCAGCCTTCTCTATCTCTGCCTATCTTGGACTATTTATTTCTAGTTATCTGGAGGTTTTGGCCTTTTAAGTGTTCTCCTTCCTACTATTGAGGCATTTATTGTTGTGTAGAGGCTTCTTGATGGATTGATTTAAGTTACTTGCTCCGTCTTTCTATCTCCCCTAATATTCTCCCCATCTTACCATGAGATATTGATTGACCAGTTTCTGTAAGCAGTTCTTAATTAGTCATTTTCTTTTATGCGTTAATATTCTCATCCCAGATCCATTCAGTTATCCTAAGGAGAATTTTTATCTCAAATCTTTTAATACTTTATTTCTGCCGGTTAGTGTAAATGCCTCACAGCCGTATATCACAACGGTTTATCTTCAACACAGATCTTGTCAATAGGATGGAATTTGCTCCTCTGCTTCTCTTAGCGATTTTCTCGATGTCCTATTCTTTGCTTCCAAGGACAGATGTTTCATCTGCAGATTGAAGAATGTCATTATTCATTCCGACATGCATCCGCTCCATTTTTGCATGATGTTTTCATACACTCTGCATCGCTAAGTTAACTACATTGGTAAGAGTTCAGGACAAATAAGTAGCAAATAGAATTATTTTGTTATTTGTGTTTTTCACTGCAACAACCCCACATACATTTTTAACAATATATTATATTTTATTTAAACAAACTCCAGTAAATTAATTCCATTATCTGTTTGGCAGGGAACCCAGCTGGACAGCTACCTGAAGGGATCCGGTAAGCGGGAGGCGGCGAACGCTCCCCTGGATCTATCTGCATCTGCACCGCCTCCGGCCAAGCGGTCGAGGAAGACCCTCTCGGAGTCGCTGTACGGCACCGATGTCTTGCCGCTACTGCGGGCTGCCACGCCACGGCCCAAGAGGCCGTCACCACGCAAGAAGTGCGCCTCGCTCTGCGCCGACAAACCTTGCGCCCCGGACTCGCAGTCTGTTTCGCACTGGACGGTCGAGGACGTAGCGGCATTCGTGTCGTCGCTGGACATGTGCGCCGAATACGCTCCGGTAAGTCAACTTGGTTACTTATATTATTATTTTCTTATGAAAATTAAAAAAAAAAAAAGAAGAATTATCTTAATAGAACTAAATAAAAAATAGGTAAAGAGAAAGTCTGGGCTGTCTCATATATTAACTTAAAATAGTTAAAACTGTTTATTAAGCCTACCCAACTATAAAGGTTTCATCAGTGCTAGAAAAACAAAATAAAAAACCATGAAATACTGTATTATATGTACAAAATAAATTTTTAAAACTTCTGATAATATACATGTTCCAAAGTCATTACTATCTTGAATAACAATGAAAAATTAACCATTCAATGTTTCGCCAATTCAGGCATAATGACGACAGAAAAAGAAAAGATCGCAAACCTCACATCGACAGCCAAAAATAGAAAGACCCATCAGAGAGAGGCACCTATCTATTAATGAATAGCTGCGTAAGATTTGTTATTGGTGCCCCGAGGTACTCCCATGTCTCTCACCATTACACTGAGTTAAGGTGGCTCTACCCCTCCTTCCGAAGACAATACTTTCTAGGTACGTTCCTCTACCAAATCATCAACAACCATCGTCCTTCTTACGCCTACAACCTTCTCCATTTCAAATCCGCAGTCCATTCCCTGTCCACAAGATCTCGATCTTCTGACCTTTACATGCCTTCTCACAGATCTGCCTCATTCCAAAATTCCTTTATTGTTCGCTCTGTCAATTTCTGGAATTCCCTCCCTATCAAAATTCGACATTCCTCCTCCATATCCACATTCAAATCCCTCCTATTCCAATTCCTATCACAAAAACAGTCAGATACTTGCTAACCATTCGAGCGGATTTTAATAGAGAATTTGATATATTTTTATTTTTTAATTCTTTATTTTTTTCAGAAAAGTGTATACTGGTCTAAATAGCTTTAAGTTTCTTGTCATAGTATTAATGGTTTTGTATATAGTTTAGTTTGTTTTGTATATAGAATTTTTACCTTATATTTTTTTTACATTATTTCTTTTTTTCGATTTATTTTGTTTTGACCAGATGTAATATTTTAATTTTGTTCTAATTTGTTATTCTCAAGGGACTGTGTCCCAGAATAAAGTTATTTTTCTATTTCTATTTCTATCTCCACTAAACATCCCAACAAACCTCACCATTGACTGTATAAATCTTCTAAATTCCAACCATATTTATTTTTCTGTTTATTAAAATATGAACTGCATGAAATATGCAAAATATTTTTTTCTATTCAATATAAAAAGTCTATCAATATTTTTTTATTTATTCGTGTATTCTTAACGGAAGTTTATTCCTAAGAATCTCTTCCTTCTTTTTTTTTTTTTTAGATATTGACAAGAATTCTATAGGATGAGATTTATTGCACTAAAGTTCTTGAGAATAAGACATAAATTACTATAAAATAAAATAAATTAATATATTAGTTATTTGGCAATAATAAATAAATAGACAACTTCTCAGAAAAAAGAATAAATTAATGACTAAATAAAAAGTTATTCGCAGATACTTATCATACAAAATATTGCGTTTTCTTTCAAACAAAATGAATTTTAAATGGTATATTGACTAATTTAATTTTGACATTGAAATAGAATAGAATTGCATGTTTTAAGGGGATAGGATGACAAATATCAAGCACATCGTGAGGAAATCACAAAGCAGTACAAGAAGACTTGAGAAAAGGGATAGGTCGGATGAATCTGGGTTGTACATATGATTTGAAATGAAATATATCAAAGATTAAAGGAGATTGTTTTGAAATAGTATGATAAAAGAGAGGATTCAGGTAATATTGTTTGCTAAACGATATACGTTGAGCTACTTCAATAAGGCAAATAAACTAGCAATAAGAGAATCTGCTGAAAGGATCGTAGGAACAAAGAGTTGTAGTTCTTTTTAATAAATCATAGCTCCCTTAAAAAGAGCGGTATATGTCTACAAATGTACAAATGATCATCGCTCGCAGTTTTCGGTTGTTATAATAATAAGCCTTATTTGCATAAATATTTTCATACATTTCCATCCCTTGGGGAGGAATTTTAAAGGATGTGGTTATAGCAAAAAAAAAATAGATCAAATTATCATTATTTTTTTTTATTATTAAAAGAAAGTAATATCGATAACATTTCCTACATGAAATAGTGTAAAACAAAATTTAAAAACAAAACCGCACAGCAAACAAAGCATTCCACAAAAAAAAAACTCGTTTCTATCCCTGACAACAAGCCACCGGTTATCTCGCCTACGTATTGAGTCATTTCGTTCTCCTATCATCTAAAAATCATATACGGACTTTTTTAAGGTTGACTAACTTTTTTGTTGATACTAGGTAGAAAACTATTAGACCTATAAAATCTTAACATTTTTTTTTATACTGTTGTTTTTTACCTTTGCTCTGCATAGGTTTCTAGGTTATTATGTAAAACAATCGATTTGTTTTATTGTGTAAAATGAGAAAAACACATATTGCTGATTATGTTAAACAACTCAAATGTACAATAAATTACAAAAACCAAATGAAGATTTTATTAAAGTAGGCTAAGTAAATTATATTGTCATGGAAAGTCAATTCAGATTCGTTTCTAGCCCCCTTTAAAACTCTTGAATACGAATTTGTTTTGGAATAAAAAAAAAACAATTTTTTTAAATTGATTTTATGGTAGAATTTTTTCATACTGTTTACTCAATCATTTATAATTCCTCAAAATAGATGTCATTTTTCTCTTTGAAATAGTTAACCTAGTGTCAATGTGACAGATAGTTCTAATACTCAATAAATAAAAAAATAAATATATTAAAGAATTAGTTAATGGAAATATAAATTCTTCTAGCCTCCTTATTAATATTAATTTTCTAGTTCCTGTCCATAAATTTTCAATCAACCAATTATGCCTTACATTCGAGCATAGATCGGAATCAGTGATAATAAATCTTAATTTATTTGCATCCTACGTAGATTTCTTTGACAATTCGTGACATTGGTTTGAGAATGTTTTAAATACCAAATTTGGGCAAATTGGGTTTACCTATTGTGAGTGAGAAGGGTCCCACGCGCTCTGTTGAACTCTACTTAGGGATAGTCGATATCATCGAAATACTGATACTTCCCTCTACAACGCACTACATTTTACATCAAACAGGCAATATCAGTATATAATTTTTTTTGCTAACGATCATATTCATATATAATTCTTAGTGCTATCCAATAACGATAGTTTTAATTATTTTTTTTAAATTTAAATATCGAAGGGACGATATTGTTAGTAGATAATATACACTATCGATGGTAAAATATCAAATATCGGAAGGAAAATCGTCTATCGATGGTCATCCCAAGTCTACAGTACATACACTATTCTTATTTTCAAATCTAATCTGGATAATGTACCATCTTTTGTGCATGTAACCTTAATCTAGATACCAGTCTGATTTAGGGAAACCAATTATATTTGACATACAGCTATTGTATCAATACAATATTGAAACAATAACAACAAATCGATGAGGTCGACTCCTTTTCCTGCTGTTTCCTCTTGAAATCCGCTCGGTGCATGCCTTGGATCATCTTTTATCCTTCATCTTCGCCGTGTGCCCATCCTAGTTTAACGTACATAAGCGCTTCAACACATAAGCTTTTAATAACCAATATAGTTATTTATGAGTTAGTTTAATATAAGTAAGATGGTTGGTTTAATATATTCGTGAAGTCCTAAAGCAGCGCACTTCTACTATAACGCTACCTACCCACACACGGCGACAACTTATTTCCTCCCTGTCCGTAGCTAAAGGATGTCATAACCACGGACTCATTCACGGCGTTAGGCTACAATTTTCTGGGGAAAAAAAAATCGTTCTAGGATCGTGAAACGAAGTACTAATGAGTTGGAATTTTTTCGCCACAAAGCGCGACCAGCATTCCCCGGAGATAATGACGGCCATTACAAAAGACCCCGAGAAACGGACGCAGGTGAGGAGAGTCTTCGAAAACGGACGTGGACCCGGAGGACATCAGAACGGATAATGATGGAACTGATCCGGATAACTGACCGACGCTCTGGGACTTATTAACCGGCCGGGGGTACGTGCCCACAACTCCAATCCTACGTGCTCTTCCAATCGGATTCGACTCGCTCAAGAAGTGGACCCTCCGCACGAACTGACCGTCGGTCGGGGAAAAAATTCCCATTCCAGGAGCTTTCCAGGTCTCTCTTGTTCGGATGGAATCGGGAGGGAGGAAGGATATTAAGTGCAGTCGTTCGTCTATACTGTGAGAAAACTCGCGTACATATTTTCTTCAAGATATGAAAGTTGCTCTGAAAAAAAAATTATATATATTTTTGTAAACGTCCCTCAACTAATAGCATTTCTGACTCTGGTTAAGAAATTCGAGACTTCAACAGATTTTTTAGCAAGTCTTTGCAAAGGAACAGTTTTATTTTATATTTTTTATACAAGTTTTTGAACTTTCAACCACCTTGGTCATTTTCTATCTAAATTATAATTATTTATTAGAAAACAAAAAATATCTAAAAACGCTATTGTCATAAAAAAGGTGTACAAAACAACAAATAACAGATATAGTGTGTTAATAGTTAAAACTATTAAAAGAATAAAATCATAATTTTTTTTAGTTAACTAAATTTAATCCCCAAATTGAAAATTAATCACATAATTAAGTACCATTGAAATTAAAAGTTAAAATTTACAAACAAATTAACTATTACACTTTTTCGTAAATTGTATTTAATGAAATTCACAACTGTATTAAATAAAAAACATCCAGTAAATGTAGAAAGAATAAGAATACTGGTATGAACTGACTTGTCAAGTGACTAACTGGTAGGACTCTCTAAATAGTTCTGTGTAAGAAGATCCCGTGGCCATCTTCTTTTCAGACACCTAGGAGGATTTTCAGGAATCCTCAGGCAACTAAGGCTGAAAATGAATGGGTTTGGAAGTGTCTGGACTTCATCATGAAAGAATAGGTGGATCGGACCAAAGCAGCAATATATAGAGGCAAGCAACAATATTGAGGTCGTTATGAAAGATTTAATTAAGGATTAAATACGAGATGAATTTGATCCTTACGCCCATACAAGACTTGTAATAGTTGTGTAAATGAGTGTTTTGTAATTAATTAACTGTTGCTAGTAACTGTTGGAGATGCTATGGATTCCAATAGTCCAAAAATTGATCTGATAGCAGGCGAAGTTTTGGATGTAAATTACTTAATGAGTATGTTAATGCAAAGTGTATGTTATTCTAAGTAAAATGGACCCTTCCTGCCTATTCCAGAACCACTAATCCAAAAATGGCGGGTTATTTAAAGAATATTAGGCCAGTAACTTCAGGATCGAAACGGGAAATGCGAAAAATGTCGAAAACGTTTTTAAAAATTTGTATATTTGGGTTTAGACATGTAAAAAACAAAATTGCTAACGCGAGCCAACAAGCCAACAACAACCTATTTTCGTTTACGAATGCACAATATTTTCCTCTCCACGTCTAAATTTCAAAAGCGAATCATTAAATTTGGCCCAAAGTTGGGGAAAATTTGGAAAATAGTGTACTAACGGTGTAGCATCAATTTTATAAATTTTCATTTAACAATTAAAATTAAGAATATAATGGCTGTAAAATGAGGTAGGCATTATAATTGAAGGTTGTGTTTATTTTTAAACTTAATGTGATTAATAAGACTTGTTTTATTGGATTATTTTTTTTCACTTTTGAATAAAATTATACTCTTAGTGAATTGTTTAAGTATATGAGTATTTTATTGTGTAGTCAGTATAAATGGTGACAGAGCTATACTGATTTAATTTTGCAAATGTGTGGTTTTTTTTTGTGTGTCGTTTTGTATAAAATTATTGTTGTTGTTTTTTTTTTAAATGGGACAGACTGTAAAAAATCCTCCCACCTTTGAGGGGACCTTTGGTATTAGAAGCAGTCGAAGAGGATGGCACTGATACTATATGTCACAGGAGTCTGTCGGGAGAAGGTCAGGCGAAAGGTCTCGCTTCCTTCTGTCGACTGGCTTAAATTTTATTAGGCCATCTTGGAGACAGTATATGGCCGCTTTATCAAGGCGTCTTATGTCCTTTTAAAATGGATCGAATATCATTTCTTGAGGGCCATGACTTTAAAAATGCTTATGACCTTTTACGACGGAGTCACGGAGCCGGAGGTAGATCTTAATAATAATTTAAAAGTAGGAATACTTAACACAAACTGGAGGAAAAAGTTCGAGAGAGGGAAAAGGACTCTTAAAAATATCAGCCATAGCCGTTCCTTTAACTACACTTGATAGTCCTTAGTAAAGACCCTTTTTTATCAAATTATTAACATCCGCCTGAAACTTTGTAAATAGTTTCATCACATGGTAATCTACAAATACACCCCTCCCCCCCTCTGCCACATCCCTATAAATTGCATACCGTTGCGTTCCTTGTAACAATTTATTTTAAAAAAGCCAATGTTCCGACAAAAAAAAGTGAACGAACTTCCCCAAAATGGCGTCCAAACATGGCGGACTGAAGACTTTTACTTTAGTTAGATTTTTGGTAACTGAGAATCAGCATTTGGCTTAATTTCGTTATAGTTGGTCTTTTATTAAAGCTGGATCATCAGACAATAAAAAAAAAAAATATTAAAAAATAATTGGCTTAGGCACTAAAAAACACCAGTAAAGTCAATTTTTTCGACAAGAATTTTTTCTTGAAAATCATCTGCTGTTTGTAATTAAACGGCCAGAAATAACGCAAAACGTGCTGAAATAACACATCTGGAGAATATATTTTCCTTTCTGCTTTTTGGCCGCTTAAGTACATTTTCTACGGAACTTCTTTTAAAAAGTAATCAGTATTTTACAAATAAAAACATATTCTCCAGATCTGTTATTTCAGCACGTTGGGGGAGGGGTGCACGGTAGGGGGGTCTGACACACCGTGTAAAATATTTTATTTACGAAAATTCTAGGAATTGGGGCGTTTTCAGTCTGGAGATCGTCAAACTGTGACTATTTAATTAGGTACTAAAACGCACGAATACCCACCCATTTGCTTTCCACTTGAATCGTAATATAGCATGATTGCAAATTCGAAAAAAAGGGGGGAAAAAAAAGGTGACCTACAAAAATATTGGTCCGTTTGGCGTGACCTCCATTCCGAAAAATTTAAAATAACGAGTTGGGATCTAGTTCTCTTCCGTCTTCAGAGTGATGGATTTTGATGAATGAGGTATCAAATGAATGGAAATTACTTTGAGAACTGAAGAATGCCGATTTCAAAATCTGACTATGATTACAATTAAAATTAAACAAATTGAGAGGTTTCTAGAATCAGATAGGTTCCGATGTTGACGGATCGAGACGGAGTAAATTGTCTTAAAAATTTCGACGCGGACATCAAGGAACTACTGTATTAAAAAATTTACCATTTTAGAGACAAATCGCCATTCTTGTCAAAAGCAACTAAAGTGTTATGATTGTGAAGCAACGCTTATCACATGTTTAGGTTTTAAAAATTAAAACATAGCAATTTATGATAGTCATCGAAGAAATAAAAAAAAATAATTGAAAATATAAATGGAGGGAAGAAACTTTTTGATATTTAAAACAAAATAAATATCTAGGTATTGATTGCTACTATATTCTCATTAGTAAACTTACTGCATCAAGAATGTAATAATGAACGAGTAAAATGATGGATTAGTATACGTTGAAGAATAGTGTGGTCAAATTCACTTCGAACTGCACCGAACTTTCCTTAATAGTGAATAAGAAATTGTATACCTTTTCCATCCATTTTTTTCGGATTCTTTCCATATATCCCCCTTCAAATTTTAAATAAACTTATCGACTTAAGAAGTTTAAGATACTTAGGAATAGATTTATTCCTACTAGAGATGGAATATCGCAGGTTCAATATCGACATTGTCATGGATATTTTTTTTTTATTTATTGAATGAAATTTACAACTGTATAAACAATATCAACTAGTAAAAATGCACACATTAGAAATAATGACATGAACAGACTTGAAGAGATACTGCCCAATGATGGCACTGCCTATTTAATTCTAGGAGAGCAGATCACGAGAACATCTTCTTTTCATACGCCTAAGGGGATTATTAGAAATCGATGAAGAAGCAAGGCTGGAAACAAGAGGATTCGGATGGGACTGGAGTTTATCATGAAAGGATAGGTTTCTGGCTCGGGCTAAATCAGCGGCATATGAAACATTAAGGTCTTTTTTGTGAATGGTTATATTTGTGACAAAATATGGGGCATTAAGGATGATAGGAATTCGATGTTTTGGTAGAATCCCAAAGCTCAACTCCGTATGTCCATTTAGGTCTTATTATGGTTAAGTAGATGAGTCTTTTGTAATTAACTGAAAGTTTAGAGCGTTTGTCTAGTAAGTGTTGGAGCAATCGGAGCCATCCATGGATAAGTCATGGATATTAATATCAAAAGTAGATATTTTGATCTATATTATAAATATTTTTAAAATATCAACATCACTGTAAAATATTGATTCTATAGCAAATATGCGCGTTAAAAAAATGTTATTTTCTTGTAATTAAATTAATTAATGGAAATATGAATTTTTCTACCCTCTTTGGTAAAATTAATTTTCTAGTTAATTTCGCCATCCTCAGATTTTTTTCCCCAGAAATTTCCATTTAAGAAATTATGCCTTCCTTTCACACATGGATTGTATTGTGCGAAATGCTAATTTATTGGCGTCCAACATAGATTTCTTTGACACAACTCGTGGCCTTGGTTTGAGAATGTTCTAAGTAACGAATTTGGATTAATTGAGTTTACGGAGCGAGAATGGTTCCACACGCGCTATTTAACCCTACTTCGGGATGGCCTTTGATAAACGATATTATCGAAATATCTATATCTTCCGCACTAAAAATTCTATATGAAACCGGCAATATAAGTCTATTTTTTTTCTAACTACCAGGTATATGTATATAAATCCTAGCTTTTTCCGAAAATGATACTTTTAATTATAATTTTCAAATTAAAATATTGAAGTGACTTTATCGATAGTCGATAATATCGTAGTGACTTTATCGATAGTAGATAATATCCAAGTGACTTGATAGTTGATAATATCGAAATAGATATTATCGACTACGGCCAACCCTATTGCCTACTAATGTTGTATGCTA